GTGTGTGTGTGTGTGTGTGTGTGTGTGTGTGTGTGTGTGTGTGTGTGTCTGCTATGTCGGCTGCTTCTTGATCAAAGCTCCTGTCGCTCATTCCCTCCCTCCTCGTCCCCCACCGGTCTTTCGCTTCCAGGTCATATCCACGGAGATGCGCGCCTTCAACAATCTCAACTGGCACAGGGGTGGCGGCGTCTTGCAGACGATCGGACTCACAGGTGCCCCCTTCATCACGTGTTGCTGATGCTGGTGCACACACCACACCCATGCGATCACTCTAGAACAGTCGCACGCATTGCCCCCAACCCCAACCCCCTTCACACTCACACTCACTCACACACTCACTTTGCAGGCCCACGCCCTCGCCTTCACTGCACCCCTCTCTACCTCTGAGATCCCTTCTTGAGCGGCGATTGCGCTGTTGCTTACGTGGCCGGCTGCCAGGATGGCTCGGACAGGAAGTACGAAGAAAATGACAGCAGGTACGTGCACGCATCCAACCTCACACATGTGTGTATGTAAATGCGCACAACCGTGTCAGCGACGCTGCGTCATTTGCACCCGTGGTCGCGGTCGTGTCATTTACACTGCTGTCACCACTCCATCGCGTTTTGTAGGTCTCAAACACGTTGACGCGTACTCGGTTGAGACAAACCGCATGGGATTCAACGGGAACATCTCCACCTTTGATCTCTGGGACACCGAGGTGTGCATGTGTGTGTGTGTATGTATGTGTGTGTGTGTGTCAGCTCGTGTACTTCCCATCAGAAGTTCTTGTCAGTTCGTCCACGCCACCATGCCTGCGCCATCTCTCTCACCTTCCACCTCCTAACCCCTAACCCACTCCTCTCTGCCATGTGTCTCATGTGCAGTGCAAGCACGGGCACTCACTGCCATGTGCTCGTTCGCCAGCATCAAATGTGTGTCATCGTGTGCGAACGCGATGCTGCTAAATGACGTCGTGCGCGGACAGTGGAAGCGTGACATAGTGACAGTTGGAACAGACTGCAGTGCGATTTGCAAACATGGTCAACGCCAACAAGTACGCCCGCGACCCCGTCGACGCCGTCGCGAAGACGCTGAACCGCGGCGCGGATATGGAGCTCGGGGAGACATACTTCACCACAACCGGCTACTTGGGGCAGGCTGTGCAGCACAACCGCATGACAATCAACACGGTGCACAACAACACCGTGCGGCGGGTCCTCAAGGATAGCTCCATCACGAGCCAACGGTATGTTTACATGTGTTGGCTTTGTGTGTGTGTGTGTGTGTGTGTGTGTGTGTGTGTGTGTGTGTGTGTGTGTGTGTGTGTGTGTGTGTGCGTGCGTGCGTGTGTGTGTGCACGCTTGTCCTCAAAGTCTCCGATTAGTTTTGTGCCTCTGAGAAGATGAAGCGGTGCACGGTTCCTCAATACTCACAACCGTGTTGTCATTGCCTCTCATGCCATCCTCCCCTCCACCCCCACGCCCTCCCCTCCAGGCATCGATGAGTGCACGGCCTGCGGACGCAACCCTCACCTCCAATAACGGCCGCTGCATCAGCGAGTGCCCCGACGGCGGGCATGAGCTCGGCAACGGGTGTGCCGAATGCCAACTCCACGCGTGTGCCAAGTGCCACACCACCAGACGCCACCGACTGCCTCCTCTGCCACGGCAACCTCACCAGTCGTGCATTGCCCATTGCCCTCTCAACTACTACGCCAAGGACCACCGCTGCGTGCCATGCACCACGTGCGGCATGGGTACCTGGGCCTCCACCCCATGCTCCTTGTCCTCTGACGCCGTCTGCTCCCCCCTGAACCGAGTGCAAGCCGGGCCAGAAGGAGTTTGTCTCTGGCAACGCCGTGCGCGACCGTGCATGCGTGAGCTGCACCCTTTGGCATGGAGTACCAGCCGCCGCCGGACCGCGCCTCGTGCTTACCCACCAGTGCGTGCGAGGAGCCCTTCATCGAGACCATCCCGCCCACGCTCACCACAGACTGCCTGTGCTCCTGCGACACACTCACCTGCAACAAGCTCATCACGCAGCTGTTTGAGGAGATGGTGTGCGCCGAGCCCATGGACGAGCAGCTCGACGTCGTGCTTGACGTGTGCTGCTCCGGCCAGGGCGAGGATGGCATCCGCGACACCATTCGCCAGATGGATGCCGACGAGGCACGCCGCTCCTGCACAGGCTGCACAGACACGTGCGAGTGCAGCGCAGGCTTCATCCTTGTCTACGACGCCGACTCGGCCGACTGTCGGCCGTGCGACAGCGTGACGGAGTTCTCCCCATCCATTGGCGGCAGCAGGTGCGAGCCTACTGAGGAGTGCGAGCGCGGCCAGGAGGAGGTTGCCGCGCCAACCCGCTGCTCCTCGGACCGCGTGTGCCGCGACTGCCCGGCCGGCACCATCGACGAGGACAGTGACGGCTCCGCGGGTTGCCAGCCAGATATGCCCCGCCGGCCACTGCACGGAGGCGGGCTCCCACGGCTCCTGCTCCACCTTCACTTGCCGCGCAGGTACGCGCGACCATCATGACAGCGACCCCGCCACCCCATGCAAGGACGTCACAGAGTGCGCGTCCGGGTTTGAGGAGGTGCAAGCCATGACACTCCTCATCAGCGACCGTGTCTGCGACGAGTGCCCGGAGGGCACGTACAAGGCTGTCTGGCCAGGGCGTGCCCTGTCTCCCCGTCACCACGTGCGACGCCGGCGAGGAGGAGACGGTCAAACCCACCCCCACGAGCGACCGCGTGTGCGGCCAGTGCGAACTTGGCGCCACCTTCAAGCCCGTCGACGGCCAGGCCGAGTCGTGCCGCCCCGTCACGCAGTGCGGTCCAGATGAGGAAGAGATATTCGCTTTGTGAACCCACGCGCCAGCGCGAACGTCTCTGCCGCAAGTGCGTCCAGGACACGTGCGTGCCCGTGTCGCGTTGCGCTGCCTCAGAGTACATGTCCACGCATGGCCGTGAGCAAGTGCGAGTTTGGCACGTTCCAGAAGCCAGGCGCCCACGCTCGACTCTGACCGCGAGTGCGCGCTGGAGTGCTCCGAGTGCCCCAGCGGCCGCTTCGAGATTCGCGCCTGCTCCACGCTGGAGAACGTGCAGTGCGCTGGCTGCTCTGCGTGACCGCCGAACACATACATCCTGCGCGCCTGCAACTCAGAGAACGACGTGTCGTGCCAGCAGTGCAGCATGTGCTCCGATGAGCAGTACCGCAGCGCGCCATGCACCGCCACCAGCAACGACACGGGAAAGTGCACGACGCTCGACGTGTGCGACTAGGACCAGTTTGAGCTCTTCCCCACCGCCACGCCAACCGCGGACCGCATCTGCTGCGACCTGACCCAGTGCAACCCGTCGACGGAGTGCGAGCGCACCACCTGTGCCACCTCATCACCAAGTGCGACCCTGGCGAGCAGCGCATCCGCGCCCACCTCCACCTCCAACACCAAGTGCGAGCTGTGCCCCATCGGCACCATCGACCACGACGGCAACCCGCTCACCGCCTGCCAGCCGTGCCTCCTACGGCCACTATGTGCCTGCGGGATCCATCGGCTCCTGCGAGCAGTTCCTGTGCCCAGCCGGCACCGCCAACCTGGACCGCAACGCTAGCACGCTGTGCACGCCGTGCCAGGTTGGCGTGGACTTTGCCGCCCTCTCTCTGGTCAGCGCGATTGCACACCTGTGGCGGAGTGCAACCTTGGCTACGAGGAGGTCGTGCGCCCTACTATGCGCCCCACCATCAACACGGACCACCAGTGCCGCCGCTGCATCGAGGGCCTGTTCTACTGCGACGGCAACATGGACTTCTGCACGCGCGGATGTCGCCCTGCGAGCCTGGCTCCTTTGCGACGGCTGCGCACACCATCAGCACTCACCGCGAGTGCCAGATGGCCCGCACGTGCCCCAACAACACCACGTTCATCTCGCGCCCGCTCACGCCCACGCTGCAGAAATACAGGCATCTGCTCGCCGTAAATGCAGTGTCTGTCCAACGAGTACGAGCTCGTTGACACGCAGTCGCGCCGCGAGGCGTTTGAGGCCGCGCTGGTGCAGTCCATCAACATGACGCAGGACGCGTCGCAGATTCATTCTGCGCATCGACGTGCGCCAGGGCTCCGTCATCGCCACCGTCGCTTCCCTCAACGAGGACATTACGGTGTGCCTCTTCAGCTTGTTCGTCTCTGGCGACATCACTGATATGGGCTCCACCGCATCGCAGTGCGAGGCCGACGCGTTCCTGGAACCTCGTCTCTTTGGTTGCACGGGTGCACACGCAATCCCACCCATCACACACACCAACTGCTGGAGCCTCTCACGCACGCACGCACACACGCGCACGCACGCACGCACACACGCGCACGCACGCACGCTTGCGATTACACGTGGACGCCGCATTGCCCCACCAGGACATCCACAGCAGGCATCATCATTGCACTTGATCGAGTGCTGTCAGCACTTGCCACCTTCACCTCCCACATCTTCATCATCATCCCAGCACTGCTGCAACCACCACCACCAACGACAGCAAACTGCTCAAGGTATCGGATGCAGTTGACTCTTAGACCACCACGGCGTTGTTGGAAATGACCCTAACCCGGCGGCAGTGGTGGTGGTGGTTGTGGTAGTGCACGCCATGGTAACAGCACCGACAGCTGATGTGGTGGTGGTGGTGGTGGTGGTGTTTGCATTCCTCGCTGGTTCCAGCAACAGCAAGGAGGTGGCCATCGTGATTCTGGTGGGCACGCATGTGCTGGCTGTTGTTGGTGTCATGACTGGCAACAGCAGTTGTTGCGATGGGCGGAAACAGCGATGAAGAAGGAGGTGCATGTATGTGGGGTGCATGGCACGCAGTCACCCTTCCTTTCTGTGTGGTTGGCTGTGCAATTGGAGTGTGCGCACACCGATGACGGCCATGTCGTGACGGCTGCCAATCAAATCACTTCCCACCTGAGAAACCACCGCATCTTGGCTGGTGCACGCGTGCGCCTCTTTCTTCCATCAGGCCGGCCATCGACAGAGCAGCGTTGCAGTGTGTCATGCGGTGTTTGATGATGTGTCACTGTTGTTGCCATTGCGTTGGCTGTTTGTTCACATGCACGCCGTGCATACTCAATTTCCTTCCCTCCTCCCTGCCTTCCTTTCTTCTTGCTGTTCTCTGCTCTGCCACTCTCCCTTGTCAGTGTTGTGTGTTTGGTTGCTGGTTGCCGTGTTGTGGTGGTTCCACTTTGCTTGTTCAATCGTTTCCCAACAGTACAGTGGGACAGAGCCAAGACATGAAGAAACGACAGCAACCCTCACACGGGCACACACGCAACACCAACACGCACATCCAAGCAAGAGAGGAAAGCAGAAACAGAACACAACACAGCTCAAGACAACAGCCACATGGCATGGTGCCACTTGCAGTGCAGCCAAACAACCAAGTACAAGGCGGTCTGCACCAACAACAACAACAAGGGCGCAGTCATCCACCATCCCTGTCAAACTCGTCACACACGCAATGTGTGTCAAGGGAGGCAACCACTGCAGGGGCAAAGAAGACACACAAAGCGGGTCAGTCCACGGCGCTATTGTTGTTGTTGCTGTACTTGAACGCCTCGCACCAGTGCTTCAAGCACGTCCCTCCAGTGTCAGCTGCACTTGGTTGCCATCGTTGTCAGCTGGTGGTGCTGTTGTCGTGTGCACCGTGTCTCGCGGATGACCTGTGTGATGAAGCAGCACGCATCCAGCACCACCACGACGGTGTCAGAGGGAAAGAAGTCGACGCTGCCGCGCACATCCATCAAGCTTGCTTGTGTGGTTCACAACACAAATCCACGCACGTGCAAGGCAGTATCAGCAAGAGTGAGTGAGGGAGGTGTGTGTGTGGGTGTGGGTGTGCATCACAGCAGGTGAAGTGGAGAACGCGCATGAAGGAGCTGCCAGCAAGTCATCACATGGAAGCAAACCATCATCAGCCGCAACACACACGCGTGGATTCACTCACAAGCAAGGATGCCGCTGCCACTTGCCACTGCCATGGCCTCCTCATGCATCGACGATGCCGTCGCCAGCCAGTCCGCTAGCCATCCAGCTATCAGTCAGGAAGGGAGTGTCCAACATCGTGTGGGGGCAGCAGGCCAAGGAGGATCTTGCACGGTTCTTCTCGTGTGCTTCACACCACCACTTCCTCCTCCTTGTCACTCTCATCCCATGCTGGTGCTGGTGCTGCTGTGTTGGCGAGCAAAGAGGGGGAGATGGTCATTCCTTCTGGTTGCCACCACGTCGGCGAGCGTAGCCACTGCCGCTGATCCATGCATGGAGTGCAATGGTGGCTGATGGTTGGTTGGTTGAGTGTGGTTGGTTGAGTGAGATGAAGGAAGGATGGAACACGGGCTGAGGTGGAGGAAGGAGGAAGGAAGGAAGGGAAATGGTGCTGTGGGTGGTGGAGGTAGCAAGAAGCAAGAACAAGGGAAAAACAAACAAAGGAGAAGGACAGCTGGCTGGCTGCTTTGTGGAGGAAGATATGCACACTTCTGCACGTGGCACGGAGCAGCAGCACTCTCACCAGAGCAGAGAAGAGAGAGGAGGGGAGAGGGGAGAGGAGAGAAGCAGAAGAGAAGGGAAGAAGCACCAAGCACTGCAAGAAGCAGGCGTCTGTGTGGGTTGTTTGGTTTGTGGTGTGTCCTCTCCAACTCCATTTCTGCGTCGTTCCAGTCACAACCCACAGCAGAGGTCACAGCACCCCAGCCAAACAAGCAACAAGCAAGCAACAGAAGAGAGCAGAGAGGGAGGAGGAGAACAGACAAGGAGGAGACAGGGCAGATGGGTGACACCCACAGCAAGGCAGAGGGAGAGGAGAGGGCGAGGGAGGAGGTGGAGGCCTTGCTGGCACAGACGAAGCTGAGGGGTGAGGTGAAGGACAAGATCAGGGCCATCGCCAACAACACGGGTGGGGATAAAGTGAGGTGAGTGCATTACCAGAACGCCACATTGCCCTGTTGGAGTACAAAGCGCACTCTGCATGTACCGCTCTCTGCTTGCCTTGCTGCTGAGGGTTTTTGTGTGGCGCAACCACGATAGCCATGGTGGTCTGTGACTTGTTTGCCTGCTTGTCTCTTGTTCTTGGCGCACATTGAATGGCAGCTTTTGGCGGGATCGCCTCGGCGTCAGTGGGGCGAAGGCATTGGCAGAGGCGCTCAAGGACAACACCTGTCTCAGAGTGCTCAAGTTCGTACCGTGGTGATTGAGCTGCGCGTGGCATGCAGTTCTGGTGGGGCTGCTTCATGCTGGTTGTTGGCCGCCCCCTTCTCCTCTTTGCGTGCTCGTGGCATGTGTTTTAACCGCCCCCTTTCGGTCTTGGCAGCCTGTGGGACAACGTCATCGGTAATGAGGGCACTGTGGCGTTGGCAAAGATGCTGAAGCACAACACGACCTTGACATCACTCGAGTGAGTGTGGACACATGCATGTGTGGATGGAAATGGGCTGCGTCACTGTCGTTGTGTAATGCCCTGTGATTCGCGAATGCCCGTGTATGGGGGTGGGTTCAAGGACAATGCTTCCACCCACCCACAGCCACGCACATGCACTCACCCTTCCTTGTCCATGTGGCATCATCGCCTTGTGTGGCATCATACCATTTTGACAGCCTGAAAAGCAGCCGCATCGGTCCTGTGGGCGCTGTGGCGTTGGCAAAGATGCTGAAGCACAACACGACCATGGCAACACTCATGTGAGTGTGGACACATGCATGTGTGGATGGAAATGGGCTGCGTCACTGCCGTTGCACAATGCCCTGTGTTGTGGGTGTGGGAATGTGCGTGTGTGGTAGGTTGGGTTGGACGACTGTGTTACCGCCCACAACCACGCACACGCTCTCATTCCCTCTTCCTCACCCATGTGACAACATCACCCTGCGTGGCATCATCCCTTCTCGACAGCCTGGACAACAATGATATCGGTTCTGAGGGTGCTGTGGCGTTGGCAAAGATGCTGAAGCACAACACGACCATGGCAACACTCATGTGAGTGTGGACACATGCATGTGTGGATGGAAATGGGCTGCGTCACTGTCGTTGTGTAATGCCCTATGATTCACGAATGCCCGTGTATGGGGGTGGGTTCAAGGACAATGCTTCCACCCACCCACAGCCACGCACGTGCACTCACCCTTCCTTGTCCATGTGGCATCATCGCCCTGTGTGGCATCATACCATTTTGACAGCCTGAAAAGCAGCCGCATCGGTCCTGTGGGCGCTGTGGCGTTGGCAAAGACACTGCAGCACAACACGACCATAACATCACTCGAGTGAGTGTGGACACATGCATGTGTGGATGGAAATGGGCTGCGTCACTATGATTCGCGAATGCCCGTGTATGGGGGTGGGTTCGAGGACAATGCTTCCACCCACCCACAGCCACGCACATGCACTCACCCTTCCTTGTCCATGTGGCATCATCGCCTTGTGTGGCATCATACCATTTTGACAGCCTGAAAAGCAACCGCATCGGTCCTGGGGGTGCTGTGGCGTTGGCAAAGATGCTGAAGCACAACACGGCCATGACGACACTCATGTGAGTGTGGACACATGCATGTATGGATGGAAATGGGCTGCCTCACGTTGCACGTTAATGGCGTGCCGTGGGTGTGCGAATACACATGCGTGGTGGGGTGGGTTCAAGGACAATGCTTCCATCCACCCACAGCCACGTACACGCACTCACTCACTCTTCCTCACCCATGTGGCATCATCGCCCTGCGTGGCATCATCCCTTCTCGACAGCCTGGACAACAATGATATCGGTTCTGAGGGTGCTGTGGCGTTGGCAAAGATGCTGAAGCACAACACGACCTTGACATCACTCGAGTGAGTGTGGACACGTGCATGTGTGGATGGAAATGGGCTGCGTCACTGTCGTTGTGTAATGCCCTGTGATTCGCGAATGCCCGTGTATGGGGGTGGGTTCAAGGACAATGCTTCCACCCACCCACAGCCACGCACATGCACTCACCCTTCCTTGTCCATGTGGCATCATCGCCTTGTGTGGCATCGTACCATTTTGACAGCCTGAAAAGCAGCCGCATCGGTCCTGTGGGCGCTGTGGCGTTGGCAAAGATGCTGAAGCACAACACGGCCATGACGACACTCGAGTGAGTGTGAACACACATGCACATATGGATGGGAATGCGCTACTTCGCTACCGTTGCACCTTGTCACGTGTTGTGGGTGTGCGAATGCACATGTGTGGTTGGTGATCTCAACGACAATGCTTCCATCCACCCACAGCCACGTACACGCACTCACTCACTCTTCCTCACCCATGTGGCATCATCGCCCTGCGTGGCATCATCCCTTCTCGACAGCCTGGACAACAATGATATCGGTTCTGAGGGTGCTGTGGCGTTGGCAAAGATGCTGAAGCACAACACGACCATAACATCACTCGAGTGAGTGTGGACACATGCATGTGGATGGAAATGGGCTGCGTTTCTGCAATTGCACTTTTATCCCGTGCTGTGATGTGTGTGTGCGCATGCATGTGTGTGGTGGGGTGGGTTCAACGACTGTGTTGCCACCCACAGCGATCATCACGCACTCGCGCACTCTTCCTCGCCCATGTGGCATCATCGCCCTGTGTGGCATCATGCCATCTTGACAGGCTGTACAACAACAATATCGGCAATAAGGGCGCTGTGGCGTTGGCAAAGATGCTGAAGCACAACACGACCATGACAACGCTCAAGTACCTTAAGTACGCGTATGTGGGCACATGCATAACAATCGATAGAGAGGGAAAATGCGCGGCGTCACTGCCGTGCTATCATTGCTGCCGTCCGGACATGTTGCAAACAAGTAGGGCGTATTCCTACTAACTCAAAGCTATCCTGTTCTTCCTGTTGCCAACTTACCTGTTGTTCCATCTCATCTAACAGCGTTTCCCACAATCATATCACGGAGCCTGGCATGGTGAATGTGCTGAAGCAGCTGCAAGGCATGGATGCCCAAGCCAAGATTCGGTGAGGTCTCGTGTGCTTGCGACCTTGCTCCACCCACACGTACCAGCTCAACTTCAGGCGACGCTCTTTCATCTCACATTCCCTCTTTACCGCATCACAGGCTGTTCGAGTTCAAGCTCGAGTCCTCCACCTCCGTCGCCCGCACACTGGCCACGCTCCGCACCAAGCGCCCGGACATCAACGTCGTGTTCAGCAAGTGGTGAGTTCTCACAGCAGTAGAGTGGAGTGACAGGCTTGTTCTTACTTTAAAACCCCTCCCCACCCCATCTTCTTTCCACCCTTCACGCTGCAGCCTTCTTCTCCTCAGGTATTTCGAAACAGAGGACGAGTTCGACTCTTCCGCCAAAGCTGCCTACCAAGACCAGCTCGATCTCCTGAAGCTGCTTGAGACAGGCTCCGTTCCTCTGGAGACAGCAAAAGTGTTTGTGTGCGGCGATTACGGCATCGGCAAGACGACGATGATCAAGTCGCTGGACAGTGATGATCATGAACCCCAAAGTCAGGCAGAGCAGCCACCCAACGACCCAGATCGGCCGGATGAGCGCACACCTGGCATCCGCGTGTGTGACATGAAGCTTCAAGACACCACAAGCCAAGGCAACGAAGGTGGCAACGCTGCATCTCTTCGCGTGTACGATTTCGGCGGGCAGCTCGCATATAACGCCATCCACACGCTGATGATGTCGGACCGCTTCGCTGCCTTTGTCGTCTGCGTCGACCTCTCCCAACCAGAACAGCACGTGAAGGATCGCGCCAGCTACTGGCTGCAGTTCATCTGCACGCGACTGAAGCAGGGCATTGCGGCTGCCACAGCAACGGCAGGCGTTGATGCCATGGAAGAGGTGAAGCCGCGCGTCGTCATCGTGGGCACCAAAAGGGATATTGCTCGCAAGATAGGGCTTGTTGGAGCACATTGGCAGCCCACTTGGAGCACAGCGATGATCGCATACCTGCAGCACACCTTCGGCCACATCATCGACATCCAAGACAGCCTCATATCTCTCAACTGCCATCAGGGAGGGGATGCGGGCTTTGATCAGCTGCAAGCCCACTTGGTCCAGCACTGGCGGTGGCTGAAATCACTCGAGATGCTGGTGCCAAAGGTGGTGGGGATTGTTGGCCCGAGCATTGAGTCCGCTCGGCAACAACACCCAAGTTGGACGGTGTCTGAACTCCTGGAGTACATCCGACGCAGTAGCAGTGATGAATTCGCCCCCACGTCTGCATTGGACGAAGGCGTATTCCATCGCATTCTCAGGTGCGGTTGTCTGGCGGAGAGTGAGGGAGGACTTGTTGCCTGCTTCAGCCTCGATGTGTTCCTTTGACTGCGTTGTTCGCTGCACCTCACACTCAAGCACATTCCTTGTTCACAGATACCTCCACTCCCGCGGTGATCTTCTCTGGTACTCTAATACGCCATCTTTGGCCAACCACGTCTTCGTTTCCCCAAACTGGCTCTTGCACGATGTGATGGGCAAGGCGTTGCAGCCAGAGGGCGTGGCTTGTGGAGGCCTCCGACCAGAGAACGGGGTTGTCACCTTCAGTGATATCGAAGCATCTTTCCGCGGCATCGCCAGCGCTGACCTCGTCATCAACGTGCTGCAACACGCCCTCCTTTGCTTTGAGCTGCCACCTGCTGACGATGGCCAACGACGATTCATGCTGCCGAGTCGCGTGGAGCGCTTGGTTGGCGTTGGTGACGCCTGGCCACATGACGAGTGGCCTCTTTATGCCGGGCGGCGCATGGTGGTTGAGGACGAAGCATTGGCTCTTTGGCGCTCCCGCCTGGGTTCTTCCCGCACGTGCAAACACGACTCCACGAGTCGTTTGGAACTACACTGCAAGTGTGGCAAAACGCCTTCTTCTGCCAGCGCGATGGCGTGCAATGCCTTGGGCTGCTCCGAGGCGGCCGTGAAGTTGACGTGTGGGTCCGAGCACTCGCTGGCGCCGAGTGCAACGCCTGGAGCTGCATGACGCAGGTGAGGACTCGTGAAAACTTATGAGCGTGGGTGCCATGTTCCTGTGTCTTTGTGGATTGATGCCTTTGCCGAACACAGCTGCTTGAACCATTAGCCATCTGGTGTACTCATCCACTTGCTTGTTTCTTGTTTGTTCTCCTGCCATGCCGCCGCAGGTCTTCGATTTGCTGCAGGAAGAGGCGCATGGCATCGACCACGTAATCCTTGTGCTCAGTGCCAATCACTTGAAGCAGCACAAGCAGTATCCAGCCGGGTATGACATTACTTCGCTCCACAACAAGCGTGCGAGCGATATTGTGACGTCCACCCACCACAGACCAGGCTGCTCCGTCATGGAACGTGTTGGGGATCTGCTTGTGCACAATCCCGTCCTGACAGCACCCTGGCACCAATCTGGCCACGAGTGGCACCATGCTGCCTGGCGGCTCGACGACAGCTTTGACCGCCAGTTGCAGTGGACTGGGCCTGGCAATCATGACGTGTACTCTGCGCCACTGCCAGCCGACACCGACTTGTATCGGTGGATAGAGAACCAGATGGGACTGGGCCTCACCCTGTCACGCGTGGAGGTGACCAAGTCCACCACAATGCTGCGGGCGTTCAAAGCGCAAGTGGAGCGGTCGGCGACGCGCCGTGGCAGTGCAAACCCGTCCAACCCCTTCAACAAGGACTTTGGGGCTGGTGATCCGGACAAGCGCGCCATGCTCGACCGACTTAAGACGCAGTTTGCAGAAACACCCGGTGACGTGAACCACGTCAGCGTGCTGATTGGTTTCCACGGGTGTGCTGAAGACGTGGCTGACAACATCACGGCCACGGGCACCACCAACCTCAGCAGTCCAGAGGATCCAGGTTTCTTCGGCGCTGGTATCTACCTCACACCGCAAGCTAACTATGCTGCCGGGTACTCGACACGCCTGCTCACTGGCCACTGGCGTGCACCCAACACAGACGGGGAGCACTTGATGCTCCTCTGCGCTGTCAGTGTCGGCCTGGCGTACCCCGTCACCAGGAGGGCGGACTACACTGGGAAGATGCCGCCCCTCTGGGACGCCACAAACAACATGCTCATCCCAACATGTGATTTCTTTGGTAAGCCCTTGCACAGAGGATGCGACACCCACTATGCGCAGGTGACGAAAAGCATGCATTACCAAGCCACCCCCACACCTGGCACCCTTGGCTTTGAGGAGTACGTCGTGTCGCAGGAGGCACAGGTCCTCCCGTTTGCCAAGGTGTTTGTGAATGTTGACATGAACGCGTATTTGTCGCACTTGTCGACCCTGCCATGAACACAAGAGTGTAGATGTTCACAAGTGTGCCTGTTGTGTTGACAGCTTTTGTTTTGGCCGATTGTGTTTTGTGTGCTTTGTGTTTTGTGTGTGTGTGTGTGTTTGTTTGCGTGTATGTGTGTGTGTGAGCGTGTGTATTTGTGCGTGCTTTTCAAGTTGGCTTTGTTCTTTTTCAATCGTTCCTTCCTGCTTAGCGCCTTATCTCAGCCAATCATACAGTTCTCTCCCGTGACACAGACTGAGGAAACGGTTGTCCTGTTACAAGTGAAACGTTCATTCGCATCAAGTCCACGATTGAGTGAAAAAGCGACTCGACACAACACAACACCACACAACACAACACAACACAACACAACACAACACAACACAACACAACACAACACAACACAACACAACAATACACAACACAACACAACACAACACAACACAACACAACAATACACAACACACCACACCACACCACACCACACCACAACACAACACAACACAACACAACACACGGTAACTCGCAGCGCGCAACCCCTCCCCCTTGCTTGAATCCCCCCCCCCTTCCTCGAATCAAGCGAGAGCGCGGACCAGGCGCCACACCCCACATGCAACACCGGCCACAAGCGCAGCGAGTGTTGTGGTAGCTGTGACGGCAGAGACGCGCGGGTGGACGACGGCGAAACGGAAGACCGCAAACGTTGTATCGCGCAGGAAGAGGCCGGTCTTGGACGTGGTGTGGAGCACCTGGATGGTACTGCGTTGTCGCTGCACAACCTTGTTCCACTTCGGAGCTGTTTGCTCGAAGAACTGCAGCAGGACGCATGGTATGTCGTGTGGCACTCCAAAACCTTCGTGTGGTGTGAGTGCATCCGAGAGCATGTCTGCGAGCTGAACGGCGTCAACCAGTGCCATGTTGGCACCGGCTCCAGCAAACGGGCTGACGGGGTGGCTTGCATCGCCTATGAAGACAACGCGGCCTTGCGGGGGGATGCACATGCCGTCGCGACACGTGATCACACTTGCGGAAGGTGCAAGCAGCGCCTTGGCGATCAGCGGCTGCAGCTCATCACCGTACTCCGTCGCAGCGTCCAGTGCACGGGCCAGGAGCGCCTTGTCATGTTGCAGGGCGTCGCGTCGACACCTCGTGGTGTGTGAAGTGGGGAGAGCAAGGCCGACCAAGACGCGGTTGTTGCCCTCATCAGCAATAAACACGGACGTGCCTCTGCGGCCGCACACGCTGCCATGTCTGCGGCGAAGCGCAGAAGGGAGGGCTGCATCGGTGTCATCAACGTCCACCGTGGCACCAACAATGATGGTGTCGAGGAAGTTCGGTGTCCAGGTCGGCACAAGGATACGACGCACCACAGAACCCACGCCATCTGCCGCCACAAGCACGTCACCTCGAAGTATTGGGCCATCCGCCAACGTTACCTCCACACAATGCTGTGTGGTTGATGTCACGCCACTCTCGCCGCGGTGGTCCTTGAGATCAATCTGTTGTAATCCGGTCACCTCTGCACCAAACCGCACGTCTGCGCCGAGTGCTTGAGCTCGCTTTAGCAGCGCTTGCCAGAGGACGAATCGGTTGATGCGGATGCCACCACCTGCGTTGCTGAACACCTCATCCGAAGCAAGCACCTTGCGCACTTGCCGGTCCACCACCTCAGCCACAATGAAGCCCTGTGAGCCTGTTGCTGACGCACGCAATTCCTCCTCCTGCCCAAGGCGTGCGACCGCACGGATACCACCCACATCTGCGCGCAACGACAGCGAGTGGCTCAGTTGTGTCTTCATTGCCTCTGCGGATGATGCCCGCTCCAACACTACCACCCGTGTGCCGTGTGCCTCCTGATGGGTGTTCTGTGTGCTCTTTTCTTCAAGAAGCGTGCAGGCAAACGCGAGGCCGCCGATGCCACCCCCAGCGACAAGGATCGTGACCATGGTCATGAGCGTCGACGGTTGTCTGTTGTTTGTCTTGCTTGCTGGCTGACTCGCCTGCCTTACTCTCCCTTGCTGCTTGGTTGGAGGGAGGGAGGGCCAGTTGCTTGACTGCTTGCAGGGAGTTGCACTGTGGTCCTATCTAATATGGTCTGCTGGTGTTGCTCGTCGTCTTCGCTGGCGAAACTGCAGAAAATTAGTTGAAATTGTTCACAAATTCTCCACAGTGGAGTTGCCAAGGCCGACACCAAGCGAGCGAGAGAGTGAGACAACAGACAACAAAAGCACACCGCACACCGCACACATGTCGCACTACAGCTCACCGTCCCGACAAGGGGCGGAGTCTGCGTCCAATCCATTCACAGCCACGTCCGAGGATGACATTGAATCTTACAGGCAACGCATGGTGGAGGAGAAGCACCTGGTATGTTGATGTTCGTGAGTGTTTGCGTGTGTGTGTGTTTGCGTGACTGTTGGTGTGTACTTGTGTTTCATGTGTGTGTGTTTGCGTGTGCGTTTGTTGCACACACACACACACACACACACACACACACACATACACACACACACACACACATACGCACACACACACACACACACACACACACACACACACACACACACACGCACACGCACGCACACGCACACACACACTCTCCACCTCTCCCCCTCACGATGATCAAATTACCACAACAGGAGCGGGAGCGGCAGAAGCAGCTGCCGTTGCATCAGAGAGGAAAAGCCGTGTTGCGACACCCGCGCCTGGCGCTGCGGGAAGAGCTGGACAACGATGACGATGACGACGACGGCCCGCAGTCCCTCAAGGATTTGTCAGAGCAGCGCCGCAAGGACCGCCTCGGCGAAGCATTGGATCAGCTCGCCATCACCACCAGAGGTTTGTCCTTTGTGTGCGTGTGTGTGTGTGTGCGTGCGTGTGCGCATGTTTGTTTGTGTGCGTGCGTGTGTGTGCGTGTGTGTGTGTGTGTGTGTGTGTGTGTGTGCGCATGTTTGTTTGTGTGCGTGTGTGTATGTGTGTGTGTGTGTGTGCGCGTGCGCGCGTGCTTATGTGTGTGTTCTCTTTCGTGCCATTTCTTCCTCACCTCCCCGTCGCCCATGTGCCACTCACTCACCCCTACTTCTACCCACCTTGTTCTAACGGCAGACCGGCGCGTGGAGCAGCAGCAGCTGAGCGACTACGTGTCGAAGAAACGTGAGCTGTTCTTGATCAAGTACTCGCTGGATGTCAAGCGGGACGAAATGCACAAACTCGAACAGAAGGCCCGCGAAGAGGAGCAGAAAGTTGAGGTGTGTACATGTGTGTATATGTATGTGTGTGTGTGCGTGTACGTGGGCGAGGGCTTCCTTCACTGCCGTTGTCCTTGCTCGTGTGGAATACGCTATGGCTTTGCTCGTGTGGACTGCGCTATTCCTTCTTGTATGTCAGGGTGAGACGTGATCGCGCCACTTGCTTGCACCCCATCCCGCCCTCAACACCACTATGTGCAACCACCTCTACCCCCTCCCTCCTTACGTCCCCCTTCCCCCCCCCCCAAAACAACAGGAAGCGGAGAAGTGGCTCGAGGCAGACGCGACCAAGTTTGATCAGTTCCTTCGCGAGAACGACCGGCGCGCGGTGGAGGCGATCAAGCACGCGGAGGCGGCGTCGCACCGCAAGCAGGAGCGCGCAGCAGAGATCAAGAAGATCCAGGTCGGGACATGAGGCGTGTGCGTGTGCAGTGTGCGTGTGTGCGTGTGCATATGTGTGTGTGTGTGTGTGTGCATGCAGTGTGTGTGCAGTGTGCGTGTGTGTGTGTGTTTGTCGTGCGTGTGTGCGTGTATATGTGTGTGTGCGTGTGTGTGTTTGTGTGTGTGTGTGTGTATTGGGGATCTTCACCCTTTACTGTATGTCTCATCACCTCTCACCAAGCACCACTCTCCCTCCCTTTCTTCTCCGTGTTCTCTGTGATGCAGGCGGAGGTGATGGCGCTGAGCAGCGACGTGACGAAACAGGGCGACAAAATTGCAGAACTCCGCGCATTCAGAGACTTCTTAGAGGAGCTCTCCCCGGAGGTGGGGCGTGACACCTGTGTGAGAACGCGTACGAATGTGTTAATGTGTGTGTGTGTGTGTGTGTGTGTGTGTGTGTGAGTGAGTGAGTGTACGTGTGTACGTGTGTCTGTGTCTGTGTCTGTGCCCGTCTCTCTGTCCCTCACCCCTCCCCCCCCCACACACACCACCCCATCCTCCCCCCCTTCCAGGACTGGGCGTCGTCGTTGGCGAAGAAGAGGAACGATGCTCGCCGCGCCATCCTGAAGGCGTCT